CCAGTGACAAAAACAAAACAAAACAAAAAAACAACACAACAACAAAACAGAAGCTTGTAGTTAGTTCAAGGACTATTTGTTGGCCTTTAGGAGTGTTTTCCGGTCAAATCTGATGGGGCGCCAAGACCTTCCCCCAAAGTCTATTTTTGGTATTCCCTTGCTGTTCTGTTGCACGCCCTCAGTGTTTTGCCTCAGTGTGGTGGGATCAGATAGGATGCAATTCCCACGCTGTTTCTCCAGTGTTGACCCCTGTAGGGCTATGGATCAGTGAGGGATGTCGTGTCATAATGGGGCTGGCCATATGGTCTTCTCTGTGGATTGGCTGCTCTGAGCGGGAATTTCATTGTCAAGGCTTGGTGGGCTAGGTTGTGCTCCACTCTCTCTTCCTCCCCCTTCATTTACTCCCGTGTGCTCTGATCAGACTTGTCCCTCTCCCTGAGCTGCAGCTTCAGTGCTGTCCTCTGAAATAAATTCTTCTGGGTTGAGGGGCAGCTGTCCATGTAGTTGGGATTGGGGCCGGCCCCTCACGGCCTGGCACATTTTTCGCAATGCAAAATGAAGCCATATTCTTGGGTAGACGAGAGAGAGAGTTTCTAGTTGGAATGGAATTTGTTTTGTTTTTGATTTCTTATAATTGAACTTGGAGAAGCAAATGCTGATCAGTGTTGCATGTTGTACGTGACAGCCAAGTTGAATAATGAAGAGTTTTGTTTTGGTCTTTTATTTTTGTTATTAGACATAAATGTTTAATAAGCTTCCCTGTATGAGTGTTGTATAAAACACCCAAAAGGACACACGCATTACGTTCATGAAATTTGCATGCTAATGGTACTAGTAATTTGATGCTCTGTAGTTAGTGAGTCTACTGGCATGCGTTGGCAGATTGCTCTTTAGACAAAAGTATTTATGACATGGGTGAGGAAACAGCTTTGTTTAAACTGTTGACCAGTCCCTTCAAAGATTGTCTGTTCATTTAACTCACTGCCATCAAGTTAATTCCAACTCATAGTGACTTTGTTATTGGGATTATGTTCAAGGATAAAACTGTTCTTTGTTTTTTCCTTTCTCGAGGAGAAAATATTTGGAGTCAAATTTCTACCCACACTTGCTTGCTTCTTTTCCTTAAATTAATCTAATGAATTTTGAAGGCAGAAAGGATAGAAATATTAGGGTGATGCATACTTGGCTTGCTGGAGTCAAGTTAGACTAGTCATCATCACCTGGCTTATTTGAAAATGCTTTTGCTGTTATTATATTAGATTATGTGATGGTGATGGAAAAGATTAATTTGTGATTTAGTTTTTTTCTGATATTTATGTGCAATAGATGTGTGTGTGTGTGTATGCACATACATATATCTGTATAAACTAAGTCATCTTAAGTGAGCACGTTCTCTGCTTTGAAGAAGTATAGTCTTTTTCTCCCTCTGAGTTTGACTCTTATTCCGGGGGTTACTCTTGGGGAAAAAATAACCTTATAAATTTTCTTTTATTCCTTTGTGTACAAATATATACATTTTTAGGGTTTACTTTTTAATTGTGCCTAAATGAGAAGATTTGCTTAACAAGAACTTTGAATAGTTAACCGAACTGCTGATCATCTGTGACATGGACAAAATCAATGACTGCTGCAAATCAAAATTTAAAAAGTTTCCTTATGAAATATGAGACTTGATTGACTATGAGAAAAACTTGTCATTTTTTTTTTCTTTATCAGGAAATTTATGTATTCACTGAGGTATAGTAATAAAGAGACTTAACCATTCTCCCTGCATCTTAAGAAGATGAAAAGTTTTAGAATCTTACTCCATTTATCTTCCTATGTAATTGCATTATAAGCATTATTATAAAAATGTATCTTTTTAAAAAATCATTTTATTGGGGGCTCATACAACTCTTACCACAATCCATACATCCATTCATTGTGTCAAGCATTTTTGTACATTTGTTTCCCTCGTCATTCTCAAAACATTTGCTTTCTACTTAAGCCCTTAATATCAACTCCTCAATTTTCCCCCTCCCTACCTGTTCCCTCCTCCCTCATGAATGCTTGATAATTTATAAATTGTTATTATTTTGTCATATCTTACACTGTCCAATGTCTCCCTTCACCTGCTTTCCTATTGTCTGTCCCCCAGGTTATATGTAGATCCTTGTAATCTGTTCCCTCTTTCTACCCCACCTTCCCTCCACCCTCCCGGTATTGCCACTCTCACCACTGGTCCTGAAGGGATCATCTGTCTTGGATTCCCTGTGTTTCTGGTTCCTATCTGTACCAGTGTACATCCTCTGGTCTAGCCAGATTTGTAAGGTAGAACTGGGATCATGATAGTGGGGGGAGGGAGGAAACATTTAAGAACTAGAGGGAAGTTGTATGTTTATGGTTGCTACACTGCATCCTGACTGGCTCATCTCCTCCCCTTCCCATGAGTAAAAATGTATCTTATGTGTATAATCAGTGAATTTATAAAATATAAAGATTCTTTTAGGTATATGGATACAGTGAGAGGGATATCATATCTTTCCTTATCTATCACTTTGAACAGTTCTGTGTCTACTCTCTCCTGCTGTGCTTTCTGCTTATTATTTTGCCCCACTCTTTGCATATCCACATGGGTCTCCTGTGATGATTGCATGAAGTTCTCCATTTAAATGCTATTGAGTTTGCAGCCAATCTTAACTGTTGAGCATTTGGATTTTTCTAGATAGTTCTGGCAGTCATAGAGTTTAGATTTCCCCGAGAAGACCCGATTTCATATGTTCAATTCTAGAATACTGATAAACCATGTGACTTGGTTA